ATGTATTTATTATATCTAATGCAGCGACTCCTCGTGGCCATGATACATAATCTCGGCCTATGGAAATCAAAAACGTAGTAACAGTTTTTACTGTTGATCATGCCGTAGAAACTGACACTCCAAAGAGATTTCCTAATTGGCTATAAGTTACTGTATTACCAATGTACCAAAGATATATATAGACAGACTTTCTGCAGCTTACATGTTTAATATCATCACAATCTATATCCGACAAATTCTCCGATTCTGAGAAGCGCACTAGAAATAAATTAAATTTGTAATTTAATCACAGACAACTCAATGTATATTTACAGATAAGGTCTTCCGCTGTGTTTCGTCGTAAACTGAAGTGATTTTTAAAATCTATTGGGTTCATGGATTCTATACTTTCTTCAAAATTTTTACGCTTTTCCTGTTCTTCTTCACTATTGCTCGAATCTTCAGAGGAGGCTGTTGCGGCATTAATAACATTTAAAAAATCCGTAAAACAACTTGCATCCCTCGGCCGCTGCAAAACGTTGCTTTCTTCTCCCAGCATCGACAGTACCTACAAAAATTTACTTATCTTAGTGTTTTATTTTTAAATTTCCAATATTCTTACCATTCCTTTTAATTCCGTGTTCATTTTAATTTTATAATATTTTTATAAAAATATATTTGATTTATATGCACATATACAAGATTTGCTGTTTGTCAAAACAAAACATTTGACAGATTGCAACAGTGATGCCAATGACTCGCGTGGCCAACATAGGCCAACATGCATTTTTTGCCGTACTTGCGAGCCACCGAAAAGGCCTATTATTATTTCTCTCATAAAATCAAAAACAAAAGCACACTGTTTCTTGCACTTACCATGGTAAACTTTTCGAAATATTTCGTTCTCAAAAGTACTTAAAGTATCGGAAAAAGGTGAAAAGGTGAAAAATTTCAGTGAATTCAGCTGGTATTAGTGCACTTTTCGCTAACACTTTCAAGAGCTCCACTGCAAATTGTTGTTGTACGAAAAAATACATTTTAGTTCACAATGGAGTTGCCGTTCTTGTAAGGTATTCTTTGGTTAGATTCAAAAAAAGTTGCCAGATAAACGGAATCACTAAAGCAAAAATATTTTCAGAGGGATTAGTAAGAGCAGAATCATGTTTTGATGGTATCAGTATACCACATGAATTAAATGTCATAAGAAATGAGATAAATTTGCCACGAATTTAGGTAACTGGCTAATGCTGAGGCTGCCTCCGTCCCGTTAAAATCGTGGCTGACCTCAGGAAGCGCTCAATACCCGTCGCCGTTTAGTTGGTGGTGTAGGTGAGGTTGAGCGAAGCTCCCTCTTAATATCTGCCTGGCTCTGAAGGTATATGCTCATAAGGCTATACATCAACCTTCACATGGACCTCACTGTTTCAAAGGGACCCATGGGGCTTTTTAAAAGATAACTACACGTCGGGTGGAGATAGCGGACCTGAGTTGGGACCCATTAATATGGAAAATTTAAATTTTAATAAAAAACAAACAAAACTTTCTGCTACTGGAAGACCAGTAGCAACCCCAAGCAGAAGACTGCAAAACTCGAGTGGTACCTCCAACTCCACTTCCAATGAACTTAAAATCTCGTCGCAAATACCTTCTGGAAGCAGAAATACTGCATCTACCAGTCGGTATGTTGCCTCTTCTATCACGGCCAAAAGCAGTGACAAGTCAGAACCCAAATCCACAAGAAGAATTCCACCCTCTAAAATGGCCCATAACGACCGCCGTATGGCTACACGAATTCTGCAGCGCGTAGGTGAGATCCCGGCCGATAAAATCAGTCAGCAACAGGCCTCATCCCTTGAATGGGCCAAAAGCATCTTGGCCAAATCAAGCAACAAAGAGGCTTCCAAACCGGACCAAGTGTCTAAAAGACAAAGGTCTCAGGAGGAAGAACCCCCTCTTACGAAAAAACCAAGAGGTTACAATGTACTGGTACGACCGTACAGTGAGGTTGCGAAGGACAATCTTTGGGCTGGCACCAAAGGACAAGTGAAATTGGTAGCTTGCAAGGATGCGAGATCGGTTGCCTTGTACAAGGCAGCTGTCTCTAAAGTAGGAGAGATCTGGCCTGGAGCCAGACTTGAAGCGGTAGACAAGAAGGATATTCCATCTCGTCCTAGGGCCAGGGTTTGGATTCCAACTAAACAAACTGACCCGGAGCAAATTCTGAAAATAATCAGGATCTGCAACCCCAACCTTCCAACTGGAAATTGGAAGGTGGTAAAATTAGAGGAGCCTGTTGGACCGACCAGACAAGCTGTCCTTGTATTAAATGCGGAGTCATTGAAACCGCTCTCCGAAGCTAAATACGTAATCTCCTATGGCTTTGAGAAACTAAATCTCAAGGTCTATCGTACCGATGCCACGGAAGAACCGGAGAAGATTACGTCTGATCAGCCCTTGCTGGAGGAACCAGCTAAAGGACCAATGCTAAGACAGCAGAGTTGTGAGGAAACACAGAGTGAAGACCTGCCAGATCAAATGGAGGTGGACTCGCTCTCTCTGATGTCTGAAGACAAATCGGATGCGGGGTCGGTGACCAGTCTGGGCAACCTATTCGATGAGAGTGGGCTCCTGGACTCGGATGACGAAGCCGATAAAACGGTGGTAGAGGTTCAAGTACCTGATGAAGGTGCTTCAAATTAATCTCCACCACTCTAAAGCTGCTTCAGCAAACCTTCTAATCCACCTTGCACAGGGTGGAGCCGATATTGTTCTGATTCAGGAACCATGGATACTGGAAAACCGGATCTGTGGAATCGGAACAAATGACTATAAACTTATCAGCAACACAGACTCAGGTAGACCTAGATCATGTGTGTTAGTTAAAAAGTACATTAATTGTTTCCTTTTGAATAATTTTAGTGATGACGACCAGACTGCAGTGAGTTTGGAAATCGACGGCAAAACCGTATGGGTGGTGTCATCATACATGGCCCACGACCATATAGGAAATCCACCACCGGAAATACTTAAGCAGCTCGTGATAACAGCAGCAGAAAGAATGACTGGTGTTGTGATTGGAGCCGATGCAAATGCTCATCACACAATCTGGGGAAGCTCGGACATAAATGAAAGAGGTGAGTCGTTATTCGATTTTATTCTAGATTATAATCTTTATATATGCAATACAGGAGTAGCACCTACTTTTATTATTGCAGGCAGAAAAGAAGTTTTAGATATTACGTTAACTATTGAAAACACAGATCTTGAGATTAAGGATTGGAGAGTTCTTGATGAACACTCATTCTCTGACCATCGTTATATTCAATTCTATATAAATCTACAATGTCCAGTTGAGAAACCTTATCGGAATTACCGTAATACCAACTGGAGTAGATATCGAACCAATTTACTAAATCTACTTCCTCTATATCCTATTGAAGAAGTAGAGACTCCTGAATCGCTAGATAACGTTGTGGAAACCTTCACAAAAGCTTGCAACATAGCCTTGGACCGTTCTTGCCCGCTAAAATCACAGAGGGGAAAGAAAAAGCCATTGTGGTGGTCCGAGGAAATAAGCGATCTTAGGAAATCAAGCAGAAACTTGTTTAACAAGGCCAAGAGAAGTAATCTTAACACTGACTGGGACATCTACAAAGTCAGTCTAAAAATATATAAAAATGAAATAAAAAGAGCCAAAACACGCTCCTGGAAAGCCTTCTGTGAAAGCGTGGAGGGTTGTCAAGGAACAGCAAGGTTTAGGCGCATTCTCTCGAAGAAACCCTCTAATCTAGTCTACTTAAAAGACGAGGTCAATGGGTGGACACATAGCAGCGAAGAATCGGCGGCATTGTTACTGAATATACATTTCCCAGATAGTGACATACCAAATAACCTTGGAATAAACCAGGGGTCTACATGTGACTCATCTGTGGTGAATAATATTGTCACCAGAAGGAAAATTAAATGGGCTATAGATAGCTTTCTACCATACAAATCACCGGGCCTGGATGGAATTATACCAGCCCAACTTCATGAAGCAAGGGACATCTCTTGCAATTGGCTCACACCAATCTTTAAAGGTTGTCTTTCCTTAGGGCATATACCAGAGAAATGGAAATTGACAAAGGTCGTTTTTATTCCTAAAGCTGGCAAAAGCTCCCATATTACGCCTAAAGATTTTAGACCGATTAGTCTATCCTCTTTCCTCTTAAAAACTTTAGAAAGGCTTTTGGAGCATTTCATTAGGAAAGAGATACCAGATGAAAGGCTTTCAAAATCACAACATGCGTACTGTAAAGGAAGGTCTGTAGAGACCGCATTATCATCTCTAACTGGGATGATTGAAAACTCAATACAGCATAAAGAATACGCCCTTTGCGCCTTTCTTGATGTGGAAGGGGCTTTCAACAACATCCTTCCTCAAGTAATCGTCAACTCATTAAGAAAACTAGGAATTGACAATAGAGTAAGCGAAGTCATTACCCAACTGCTGGTTGATAGGACAATCGTAGCGCAGTGGGGGGAACGCTAGTAACTAAGAAGGTTAATAGGGGGACTCCACAAGGAGGAGTACTTTTCCCCCTCTTATGGCTAACTGCAGTTAATGATCTTCTTGTTGATCTAGATAGCGCAGGTTGTCAGGTGGTCGCGTACGTGGATGATCTTTCCTTGATTGCAAGGGGAAAATTTCTGAGTACAATTAGTGAGGTAATCTAAATAAAGTATCCAAATGGGCCCATTGTAGCGGATTATCAATAAATCCAACCAAAACAGAACTAGTGCTCTTTTCTAGGAAATATAAAATTCCAGAATTCACACTACCTATCCTAGGAGGTCAAGCTCTGACTCTGAATGATAAAGCCAAATATTTAGGTCTTATAATTGACAGAAAACTGAATTGGGGACCAAATGTTGTTGCACGTACCCAAAAAGCTATGGTTGCCTTTTACTGTTGTAGAGGCGCTATAGGCAAAAGATGGGGACTCTCACCGAAGTCCATTTTATGGATATATAATGTGGTGGTAAAACCAATTCTCTTGTATGGAGTGTTATTTTGGAGAAATACTCTGAATAGGTCAACACTATGCAAGAAATTGGAAAAGGTTCAAAGGACTGCACTGATGACATTAAGCGGAGCGTTAAAATCAACGCCGTCACTTGCCCTGAATGTTATCTTCAATATCTTACCTATCGACATCGCGGATAGCTGGGGCAGCTTTACGGATAAGAGAACTAGGAATTGGAAGCAGTTGTGGATGGATGCAAGATTCCATCCTCAGAGAAATTGATTTCATTCCGGATATAACAGACTACTGTACTACAATTACAATTGTGGACAGAAATCTTGAATTATTTATTCCTTCTAGGGAGACATGGGAAAACTACTCTGTAAAGAGTGATAATCGCCTTAACTTCTTTACAGACGGCTCAAAGTTAGATGGACAAGTAGGAGGAGGAGTATACTGCCCTGAACTAGATTTCAGTATGAGTTTCAGGCTACCGGATCACTGCAGCGTTTTTCAAGCTGAAGTATCTGCTATATTGGAAGTTTCAGATTGGCTGAAACACAATGTCTCCTCCGTTAAATTTATAAACATATTTACTGACAGCCAGGCAGCTATAAAATCCTTAAACTCGTCGACGTTCAACTCGAGGTTAGTACTGAATTGTCTTACATCACTTATGGTGATGGCTGAATATTTTCGGATACGAATTATTTGGGTCCCTGGACATAGGGACATCCAAGGCAACTGTATAGCAGATGAATTAGCAAGACATGGTACGACAGCACAAATTCTTCTGGAAAAAGAAAGTGTGGGTATACCAGTTGCTTCTTGTTGGCACCGAATAAAATTATGGACATACCAAATGTTTGAAAGAAGATGGTCAACAGTAACCAACTGCATAAAAATCAAGAAATTTTGGCCAAAAATAAGTAAGAAAAGATCGGGGGAATTAATCAATCTATCCCGAGCAAATTTATCCAGGATAGTGGGAATTATTACGGGACACTGCCCGTTGGGAGGACATGCCGTGAGGCTCAACATCAGGACCTCCTTACATTGTAGACATTGCATGGAGGATGATGAAGAGGAATCACCAACACACCTTCTGTTACAGTGTCCTGCCTTCGCAAGACATAGACTATCCTACTTAGGGTCGCACTTTTTCTATTCATTAAGAGAGCTAGATTCTATTTCCATAGTTCGTGCCAATGGCTTTGTAGCCAATACCAAGTGGTTATAGGGACAGGTGTCAAATTCTTAGGGTATCACAATGGACCTCATGGTCTAAGTGAGTCTTCGGACGGCCCCAGTAACCTAACCTAACCTAACCTAGGTAACTGGTATAGTGTATCATATACTAATTCGTATGGCGTGTGTTTTGTTGTTGTGTGTGGAATGGAATTGTAACTGCATACATAGTATGGTAATAATTCGTCTCAATTCTCTATGCCTTCTCGAACCGGGTTCCTTGATCAGTTGTTATGATTTTCGGGGAATCAAATCGCGATATCCAGTGTGCGTAAAAATTTTCTGCCACTGTATCGGCGGTGATATCTTTCAACGGAACGGCTTCTGGCCATCGTGTGAATCTGTCCATCATGGTTAGCGCATATCTGTAACCGTCACATTCGGGAAGTATTATTAAGTCCAAATGTACATGATCGAATCGCTGATGCCTGTTTATTTTTGCTTGTTGACAACTTTAGTCCAATTCGTACCCAATTCGCTACATCTTTTCGGATGACGGCCACACGTACTTGCTGCATAGTTGTTTTGTCGTTGACTTAGTGCCAGCATGTGCTAAGGAGTGTACTATGTCAAATGTTTTCTTTCGAAGTGATGATGAAATATATGGTCTGATGATTCCTGTTGATACATCACAAAAGGTTGACATATCGGGTTGTAAAAAAAGGTTTTGTAATTGAAGTGCTGAATCTGAATTTAATAGCTGCTTAAGCTCTTCATCTATTTTCTGATGTTCGCTAATCATCTCGAGATCTATAACCGTAGGCATATTAATTGCATCAATTCTGGATAAACTATCAGCCACTATATTGTCATTACCATCTATGTATGATATGTTTGTTGTAAACTCTGCAATAAAACTCAGTTGTCGTAGTTGACGTGGTGAAACTTTATCTGACTTTTGTTGGAATGCATAAATGAGCGGTTTGTGATCTGTTTGAATTGTAAAATTTCTACCTTCCAGTAAATGGCTAAAATTTTTGATGGCTAAATATATAGCTAGCAACTGTCTGTCGTACGTGCTGTAATTCTTCTGCGATGCCTTGAGCTTCGAAGAGAAAAACGCAACCGGTCGCCAAACATCACCTTCTTGCTGTTCCAGTACTGCACCAACTGCGTGGCTTGATACATCCGATGTCAATAGAATTGCACTTAATAGCGACAAAAATGTTAATTTAGGTAACGCGGTTACGCTTGTTTTACAGTTTTCAAACGCTGTATACAACGTAGCAGTTCATGTTATAGGCGTGTTATCGTTCTTTTTTGAATTTTTTAATAGCTCATTTAAGGGTGCTTGCAATTTAGCGGCCTGTGGAATGCACTTGCGGTAATAATTTAGGATTCCCAAAAAAACGACGAATTTCTTTTATTGTCTTTGGCTTCTTGTATTTATTAATTACTCTCACTCGTTCTGCAGGCGGGCTGATACCATCGACTAATACATCATACCCTAAAAAACTTAGTTGTGAAACTCCGAACTCGCACTTAGCGGTGTTTATGACAAGCTTGGCCATATTTAGTATTTTTAGTACTGCTTCTACATGTTCCAAATTCTGCTGTTCACTTTCTGAGAATATTAAAATATCGTCAAGGTAGCAGAAGACAAATGGCATTTTCCTGAACAATGAATCCATATATCTTTGAAAGGTTTGCGTAGCGTTTTTAAGACCAAACGGCATGACTACAAATTCAAATAACCCAATGGGTGTACTTACTGCGGTTTTGCATATGTCATCAGCTTGCATCGGTATGTTAAAGTACGCTCTGTGTATATCAATCTTTGTAGTTTTTCCGTTACTTGATCTAGGTATGGTATTGGGTACCGATCTGGTTTGGTTTGCGAATTAAGCTTTCTGAAGTCACCACAGGCTCTCCAGGCACCTGTTTTCTTTTTGACCAGGTGAATTGGACT